CGGGCAAATTCCACAACACATTAACCGTCGCACATCGTTACCACCCACAGGTACGACGTGTGCGGTCCATGCCTCCCTTTCATGTTGATATCGGGAGTGAAGATGTTTATATTCATTCTTATCCTTTCCATTCATCTTCATTTTTCGATAGCTGGTATAAATATCTTGAAAGTTCGTTGTTGAATATAGAAATCGAATCCTTTAATATCCTCAAAAGTCCGTCCAACGAAAAATAATATTTTTCTCATATGTAGAAAGGAAGCGAAAAAATAATAAAAACAAAAAAACAACAAGGGACAGTATCAGTTTTCTTATTGTTACAAATATTTCAATATCTATCATCTGTAACATTTTATCAATTCTAATTCACAATGATACTGTAGTGAATACATAGTTAATCTCAGTTATTTCTCTACATTTTAACCTTTTGATCTTAATATAATCCACAATAATGAAAACCCCAAATAAAATTGTAGTGTTATTGCATATCCCCTTTCTTTTCCTTAAGAATACACTGTGGATAAATAAAATAATGATGGCTCTTCTTTATGCTCTATTCCTAGATATCCACAGTGATTTATCAATTATCTTCTAGACAGTGAAATAGTTAACTAATACGGAAAAAGATTAAAATATTATAAAATAATTATTGTAAAAAGTGCTATGATTACTAGCTATTTAAACTCCAATAGGTTTTTTAAGTTACTATTAACAGGGTAGATTTTCTACCACATACATATAAATTACCAAAACGAAATAATTCACAATTCCGTATGTTTAATACATGCCAAATCTTATATATTCATTCATTCTATACCTCACCACTCAAAATCCATTACCAACACTGAAACTTTTTTAAATTTCATAAGAAATGGCACAGTTCAAAGTCCGCATTAAGACCATATGGAATTAACGTATTTAGTCTATAAATCCATTCCATCTCAAAAGAAAAGAAAGGGGATATGCAATAACACTACAATTTTATTTGGGGTTTTCATTATTGTGGATTATATTAAGATCAAAAGGTTAAAATGTAGAGAAATA